TAAATTATTGGTTATATATTGGTTATATCTGTTTCTCTAGAACAGTCTATCTTTTAAGAGTCTATTACAAAATATGAAATACTCCACAATTTTAAATTGTAAAATATTCCTGTAATTTTATACTAGTGTGTTTAATTGCTTATTAAGTTACCTCAAAAGAACACGTACAAAAACTGGCATTAGAGCCTAGTGTGGTGCAAGGCCCTGGGATCTATTCCCAGTTCCACAAAACAAAGCAACCCTTACACCACCCATATTTTTTACCATGTAGTTTTGCCTTATATGAAGCTGTAATCAATATATTGACCAAGGAGAGAGTTTTATATACATGACAAACTGGGAAAGGATCCAATTTCAAATTCACATGGTTGGTGTTCAGCTTTTTGGGGAGTTATTAGACTGAGAACCATAGTTCCTAGCTAGCTGTTAGCTAGAGGCTATCCTTGTTTTCTTGTTTTCAGCATGACATTTTGCTTCCTCAGTATGATTAAGGGAGAGAGCATGTAATTGGGACTGAAGTTGGAATCTTAAAATGTAATGACAACTGTAACATTTCATGGTCTGCTAATGGCTAGAGGTAGGTTAATCTAGAGGAGTGGGTTATTCAATGCTGTAAATTAATACCAGGGGAAGATCACAGGGAGCTTAAAGAGTACATACGGTAACCTTCTATTTCCTACCAAATGACAACTAGATCTACAGCTTGAGAACTTAAGTAGCAAAATAGCATTAACATTACTTCATTCATACATCTTCTCAACTGTTTTCTCTTTATATTTGCCTGTTTCCTTTCCTACTTGGTGGGATTTGGCTTTCCACTCCAGGATCTTTTTGTGGTCTTTGTCCAGTTTCAGCCTGGTGATAACCAATTTTGCGGGGTGAATGCCCATGTGGACAGTGGTGTCATTGGCCTTTTCCCACTGTACCCATTCAGTGTGGATGGCATACTTCTTCCTATAAACCTGGACCACTTTGCCAGTCGGTTGACCTTGCTAGTGTCCTCATACAACCTCACCTCATCATTCTTTAGGATGGGCATTAGATCACTTTTGACTCAGCTCTTTGGAAAGAGGGGAAGACAAATTTCCTGTGAATGTGGAAAGGTGCATTGAAATGGCTTTACTTGGTTCTTATTTCAGTCAGAAGTGACAAAGGGATTGAACTTCATTTTGGCCATTCCTGCTTCAGCAATGGCTGAAGGGGAGTAAAATAGTATATAGGATAAGGTAGATAACGCAAGTTTTAAAGGATGCTCAGGTTTATCTGTAAAAAAGATAATCTGATACTGGTCATAGGACTAAAATGAGGTGCTGAGGCTTTAAACTTGCCTGTGAAACACTTTAGTCTCATAGGGAACCCCATAAAATTTTAGACATTTGTCCTTAGCTGGAAGATACACTTAAAGGCTAGATACCTGGCACCTCCAGCAACTCACCACAGGTAATTGGGTTTCTGAAATTGGTAAAAGAGCAAAAATTGACTCAAGGTGACCTTGTGTCACTCTTGAGGAACTGAGGTCACCTTGAGGAATTGAGGTCGAAAGTAGCTGCTTGATTCACATCCCCACACAAACCCTGATACTTGGTTTCAAAATATCACCAATTCATTAACAACTAATGTATCTTTAAACTTTGTGACAGGCTTGGGCAATTATATATCCTTTCTGGGAGTTTTATTGTTTGTAGATACAGAAGGCCTGGATTCAGTGCTTTTCATCATAACTACACCTTTCACTATCTTCAAATTCATTGTCCAAGGTTCTCTTCAATATCATAGTCTCAAAAATATCTATCTATCTATCTATCTATCATCTATCTAATGTGCCATTCCTGGGGCTTGAACTTATGGTATAGGCACTGTCCCTGAGCTTTTTTGCTCAAGGCTAGAGCTTTACCACTTGAGAAACAGCTCCACTTACAGATTTTTTGCGGATTAACTGATATAAGAGTCTCTTGGACTTTTCTGCCCACTGCAATCCTTTGCCTTCTGAGTATCTAGCATTATAGTATGAGCCAGCAGTGCTCAGCTGAAATGTATTTTTAAAAATTACTATTATTAGGGCTGAATGTGGCTTAGTGGTAGAGTGCCTACTATGCATGAAGCCCTGGGTTCAATTCTTCAGTACCACATAAACAGAAAAACTTGGAAGTGTCACTGTGGCTCAAGTGGTAAAGTGCTAGCTGTGAGCAAAAGAAGCTCAGGGTCAGTACCCAGGCCCTGAGTTTAAGTCCTAGGACTGGCAAAAAAAATCAAAATAAAATATTATATACATCTATACGTACATACATACATACTGTTAAGTAGTTTTACAAAGGGATTTCAGTTCCCTAAGTCAGGTAATGAGTATTATAATGCTTCCTTTGTTCTCCATTTACTCCCTGAAATAGACTTTAAAAAAACTGCACAGAGGACAAAAGGTGAACAAATGCAGCATTGGTATTCAGTAGATACTATGTTGAAAATGAACTACGTAACTTATGGGCAGGGGCAGGATAAGGAAACTGGGAAAGAACAAAGGGATGACACTGCGCAAAATGTAGGGGCTGGGAAGGTGGCTCAGTGGTAGAGTGCTTGCCTTGCATGCATGAGGCTCTGGGTTTGATTCTTCAGCACCACGCAAGTAGAAAAAGCCGGAGGTGGTGCTGTGGCTCAAGGGATAGAGCACTAGCCTTGAGTTAAAGAGCTGTGGTACAGTGCCCAGGCCCAGAGTTCAGGCTCCACAACCAGCAAAATAAAGAAATGTACTCATTACCTGATTTTATTTTTTTGTTTTGGTTGGTCCTGGGGCTTGAACTCTGGGCCTGGGTGCTGTCCCTCAGTTCTTCAGCTCAAGGCTAGCGCTCTACCACTTGAGTCACAGCGCCACTTCCGGTTTTCTGGTGGTTTATTGGAGATAAGAGTTTCACAGCTTTTCCTGCCCGGGCTGGCTTTGAACCATGATCCTCAAATCTCAACCTCCTGAGTAGCTAGGATTACAAGCATGAGCCACCGGCGCCCGGCTCATTACCTGATTTATAAACAGTACTCCATCTGTACATTATCTTAATTATAACAATAACAAATTAAAAAATAAGAATTTGTTTCTTTTCCTTTGGTGCCTTTATAAGTAACATGGAGCTGGATACTAGTGGCTTAAGCCTGTAATCCTAGCTACTCAGGAGTCTGAGATCTGAGGATGGCACTTTAAAGCCAGGCTGAGCAGTCATGTCCATGAAACTCTTACCGCCAATTAATCACCAAAAAGCTGGAAGTTGAACTGTCTATGGCTCAAGTAGTAAAGAACTAGCCTTGACCAGAAAGGCCCAGTGATGGCACCCAAACACTGAACTCAAGCCCCAGGACAGACAAGACACAGACAAGACACAGACAGACAGACAGACAGACAGACACACACACACACAAAGTAACACTATTGAATAAAGCCTACACATTAGTACTAGTAAGGAAAAACAAATAACCACATGAACTCCAATCTTCTACAACTCCTTGAAATACACTTTCTAAAAACAAACGTCCTGATGATGAGTGAATGATGAGCAGAAACTCTTTTCTCATTTATTTTTTTATTGACATTATAAAGGTGATGTTCAGAGGAGTTACAATTTCATAAGAAACTCCCTCCTCCCATAATTAAAAAGCAGGTGTGTTTTTTTTTTTTATGATGTTACTGTGGAGACCATCCAACTTTGATAGGTTTATAGGTAGGCCAGAAACAATGGAATATGATGGATATAAAGTAAGCTAGAATTGACTTTAAATCCTCATTCTTTATGACCTTGAGCACAGATCACTTTGCTTAGCCAATTTCCACACACATCTATGATATTTTCTCAAGTTGTGATTCTAAGAGTTAAAGGAAATGATATAAGACATATCACTTCAGTATCTCTGCATCTCTTGGTAGAGCATGACACTTGACCTCTCATTCATTTTTGTGCCTGAAAACTTGGAAAATAGTACCCAGCACATTTAAAACTCATTGTGTGTGCTGAGCACCAATGGCTCATGCCTGTAATCCTTGTTACTCAGAAGGCTGAGATCTGAGGATCGAGGTTCCAAGCCAGCCAGGGGAGGAATATCTTCAATTAACCCCAGAACACTAGAAGTGGTGCGCTATGGCTCAACGTGGTAGAGCACTAGCCTTGAGGTGAAGAGCTCAGGGACAGCACCCAGGTCCAGAGTTCAAGCCCCAGGACCAACAAAAAACGAAAACCAAAAAATCTCATTGTGTGAACTCTTTGAAATGAAGAAGAGATCATGTTAAGCAAATACAGTATATGCTTAAAATTAATCTGCAGTTAAGAACTTAGGGGCTGGGAATGTGGCTTCGCTGTAGAGTGCTTGCCTTGCAAGTATGAAGCCCTGGGTTCAATTCCTTAGCACCACATATAGGGAAAATGTGGCTCAAGTGGTAGAGTGCTAGCCTTGAGCAAAAAGAATCTTGGGTACAGTGCTCAGGCCCTGAGTTCAAGGTCTAGGACTGGAAAAAAAAAAAGAATCTAGTAGGTCATTCTGAGAAATGCTAAAACTACATGCCTGTGGAAAGCCTTTTATAGTGACATTTTGTAAGTGGTCTCTAAATACTTACTATGTCCACAAAACGCTCCTAATTTAGGTACGCTGCATACCTGGCTCAGATTTTCAAACAGAAACTCTTTTTCTCAATTCTCTTGTCACACAGTTTTCAGTATCACCAATGGTCATAAAGTACACTTTTAATCGTTCAGGATACTTCCACCTTCCTATATATCTGTAACTTGATAAACACTAAAAAGAGCTTTTAAGAAGGCACAGAATTGTTACAAAGTTCCACTTGCTGTCTTGTAGAGGAAGAAAAAAACAAAACCCCAAATGACCCCATCGAGAGACACTAGGGCCCAGGCCTTCAGGCCCCACCTAACTAACACGTTCCTCCAGGAAACGGCTCCGCCTCCGGAAATGGCTCCGACGCGCTGCGCCACGGCCGGAAGTGACGTAACGCAGGCGACGGCACAGCCCATCTCCCGCTGCCGCTCGCCCGGAGACCGGGTTCGGTTGCTGCTGAGACGCCGAGGTTTTGTTTTGTTTTGTTTTGTTTTGTTTTCCCGGATGACTGGAATCGAGGGATCATGACGGGGAAGAAGTCTTCCCGGGAGAAGCGTCGTAAACGGAGCAGCCAGGAAGTGGCGCCTTCGCTCACGACCCCGGACGTGGTCCCGGCCCTGGCCAGCAGCGGCAGTGGAAGTACTAGCGGCTGCGGCAGCGCCAGCGGCTGCGGGAGCGTCAGCTGCTGCGGGAACGCGGGCTCCGGCGGCGGCGGCGCGGGCGGCGCGGGCGGCGGCGCGGAGCGCGGCGAGCGCCGGAAGCGGAGGAGCACGGACTCGTCCTCCAGCGTGTCGGGCTCCCTGCCGCAGGTGCGTGCGCGCCGCCCCCGAGGCCTGCGGAGCTGCCGCGCCCGAGGGGCCGCTCGTTCTGCGAGGTTCCTCTTCCGGAGTCCCGGGGGTCCTCCTCCCTCGGGTCCTGAACTTCTGTGTGTCTGGGTTTACGAATAAGTCCAAGTGTGTGGTCTTTCCGAGTTTCCTTAGAGAGCCTTTTGAGTCGCCGGGTCACTGTCCTGATGAACCTGACGCTTTTAAACTCTGTGTGTTTGTGTGTGTGTGTGTGTGTGTGTGTGTGTGTGTGTGTGTGTGTGTTTGGTAAATGCTGATTAGCTTCATCGCTATTACAAATGAAAAACAAAATTGAGGTTCAGGGGTGAAGGAACTTTCCTTCCCTCTCTTCCTCCCTTCCCTCCCTCCCCCCTTTCCTTCCTACCTTCTTTCCCTCCTTCACCTCCCCCCCCCCTTTCCCTTCTTTCCTATCCCTAGAGCCAAGAGTTTGTTAATTTCTCCTTGATTTGAATCCAACGTTTGACCACGGAAGCTATCAATCGGCGGAGATAGCCACCACTTTAAAAAAAAAAGTTTTATTATTTGTTGTTATAAAGCTTAAGATTTACTTAAAACTCATTCATCGCAGAAATAAAGGCACAAGTTTGGAAGTCCCTTTTCATACTTTCACATTACTAAATGGTACGCAGCCAGGCACCTGTGGCTTAAGCCTGTAATCGTAGCTGTTCAGGAGGCTGAGGTCTGAGGATGGCGGTTATAACCCAGTCCAGGCAGGGAAAGTCAGTGAGATTCTTTATTTCCAATTAACCACCAAAATGCCAGAAGTAGGGTTGTGGCTCAAGTTGTAGAGCTCCAGTCTTGAGAGAGAGAGAGGAAAAAAAAAGATAAAGGTACATATCCGGCTCTGTGTTCTATCTCTTAAGTATACACACACACACACACAAGCAAAAAGTTGATATGCAGCCTATTTAGATTGTCCCCTTGTTTTAGATTTATGTGCTTAAATTTCTGTACATCAGCTCTAGTTGAGTAATACCACTTAATTGGGATGATTTCTGTATATGGTATGTTACATTGTAGCGACTGCCCAGTATTCCATTATATCTTTAGGTGTTCACTTTTTCTTTTTTCACTACACACAATACCCAATCGAATGCCCTCGCATATATAACTTGTGCAAGAATTAGCTTTAGGGCAGAATCTCATAAGTGAACTTGCAAGGTCAAAACATATGCACTTAAAACAAAAAAAGCTGCGCATTGGTGGCTGCCACCCCAATACGAGATCTGAGGATTCCACTTCGATGCCAACCAGGGTATACAAAATCCAAGAGATTTTGGGGGGAGGCTTTAACTCTGACTTCCGGTTCTGCTCACAACTAGCTCTCCACCACTTGAACCACATCTCCACTTAATGGCTTTTTCTGTGGTTAACTGGAGATAAGTCTCATGGACTTTCCTGCCTGGGTTGGCCTCAAATTGCTGTCCTCACCACACTGGCACCCGGCTTCTAAGAGATTCTGATTTCCAATTAACTAGAAAAAAACAAGTGGAGGTGTGGCTAAGTGATAGAGCAAGCAAGCCAAATGAAAGCCTTCAAGTCCCACTACTAGCCACTAGACAAAATAGTCATGAGATAGCACCAAATGCTTTCAAATAAAACTTTAGCAGTTTACTGTCCAAACGTAGCATGCCGTTGGTTTCTGCATATCTTCACTACTATTGGATATTCATTTTTAAATGATCTGTTAAATTGATGGATTGAATTAACATTGTATTTATTTTAATTTCTATTTTTTTGATGAATAGTGAGCTTGAATTCTTCCATATTTTTGTAATTTGATTCTTGTGTACATATATATATATGCACACACACATACACACACCTGTTTTTTTCTGGTTTTGAGTCTTTCTCAGAAATCTTAACAATCTTTAGGTAAAGTTTTGATTTTAGGCCTTCTTTTATTGTAGAATATGCTGCAGATGTTTATATAATGTCCAAAATGTACATTCAGTTTCTTTGAAGTCAAAGCTAATATTTTACCTTCTGTTATTTTATAAAGGCTTTTCTTATTCCAAGATCTTTGTTAAACTGTTTGTATTTTAATACTTTTGAAAATTACAGTCTTAACTGCTTTTATGGCTGCAGAACATAAAAGGGCATTTTTAGTTTTATGCTTTCTTCTACCTAGCACATTTTGATATTAATTTAAAAGTGATTTCTCTCAGAAACATGGTTTCAGTGACTTTTATCTTTTCTAGCACTTGTATTTATTCTGTGTCCTTTTTGCATTTTAAGGGCTTCTAATGTGGTATGGGATATTAGCAGTGATAATGGGGAATGTTTTTGTTTCCTCCCTCTGCCCCTGCTCCTGCCCCTATCCTACCCCTTCCCCTCCCTTTCACTCTCCTTTACCCTTTTCCTTCCTTTTTCCCTTTCTCCTTTTTTGAGATTCTGGGTATTTATCCCCTTCCCCTCCCAAACCAGGTTCTTGCACATACTAAGCAAGTGCTCTACCCACCTGTCAGAACATTTCTCATGTGTGTTTGTTATAATTTATTTACTTCTTGTTTTGTAGATACAAGCATTTGAATGCGGGCCTTGCGTGCACTTTGCTTTCTTGCTGTCCTGTCTATTACTACTTGAATTATGCCTCTAGTTCTGCTGGTTAGTTGGAGATGGAGTCTTGTGGTCTTTTCTGCTTTGGCTGACTTTGAATCTTAAAAGCTCTGGATCTCAGCCTCCGAGTACTTAGTATTACTTAAGGCATAAGTCATTAGTAACCCAACGCTTGTCATTGATTTGAAAAGTTAGGGAATGATTAGGTATGGGTCAGATTGGGAACTTTCTCCAGTTTTCTTCCTAATTTACTGGGAGTTATATTTTTATAAGATGGCTTTCTGATACGTTGATCACAATTTTTCTCCTCTAATCAGATTATGTAGTTTTTCTAAAAGTTAACTGCCCTTGCAGTCCTGGTGTAAGTTGTACTTGATGTGTTGGAATTTATTATGCTTGCTTTTTTGTAAATTTTCTTGAGTTATCAGCCTGTACTTTTTATTGTTGGTTGGTATGTTCGAAAATACTTTGTACTGGTCCCTCAAATATTTGTCAGAACTTTTGTTTTATAGGGTAAAGTTGTTTTTTTTTTCTTAGCTCTTTCAAATTAAAAAAAAAAATAGTTCTGTTTTAAATTTGAGACCTCATGCTTGCTTAGCCTGCTGGCTGGGTTGGCCCTGTACTACTTGAGCCATACCTCTAGCTTGGCTTTTTGTTGGTTATTTTGGGGATTTGAGTCTAATGAGCTTTCCTGCTTGGGCTGGACTTCATTGTGTCTTTGAACCATGATCCTCAGAACTCATCCTTCTGAATAGCTAAGGATAACAGGCATGAGCCATTAGTGTGTGGCTTATGGTAACATTTTGGGGAACTGTGAACTGTTTTCTTTCTAAAGCTGCAGTACCATTTTCTATTTCTGTTGTGTTCCAGTTTTTCTATATCATTATATTCTGAACCATGATGTTAAGAGCTGATCTGATTTACTTTCTAGTCTAATTATCATACCTGACCTATATAGTCAAGGGAGAGAATCTTTTTTGTTGTTGTTGTTGTTGGTTATGGGGCTTGAACTCTGGGCCTGAACTCTGTCCCTTAGCTCCTCAGCTTAAGGCTAGTGCTCTACCACTTGAGCCACTGCGCAACTTCCAGTTTTCTGAGTGGTTTATTGGAAATACGAGTCTCATGGACTTGCCTGCCTGGGTTGGCTTTGAACCATGATCTTCAGATCTCAGCCTCCTGAGTAGCTAGGATTACAGGCGTGAACCACTGGCGCCCAGCAAGGGAGATATTCTTGAGGAAATAACTTTCAAATTCATATCTGATAAACATCTGGACTTGTTAATTTTATGATATAATGTGGGGTAGAAGAAGGAAAGAGAAGGTAGAGGATGAGAATGTACAAGCAGGTTCTGTTAGAGTTATTCCAAGAAGTTCATATGTTTAGAACCAAAAAAATGAGACGAGGTGGGCCATACCCCAAAAGCCATGTGAAATCACTGAAGCATTTAAAGCAAAAATGATTACACACCCTTTCTATACAATCCACTCTTCTAGTAATATACAGAATAATACTTCATGCCAGATGTGGGGTATCCACTCAAACGGCTATTGCTGTATTTTAGGGAAGATCATGGTAGTTTGGACCATATTATGATAATAGATTTGGAGAGACTGGATAGAGTTGGGAGATGGGAAGTAAAATCGTCAGAGATGTTTAAATTACTGAAATGATTTGCCTCCTTTTGAGTATTATTAAATTATATATTGGTTTAAAATAGAAATAGCTTATTATAGTATCACTTTATAATATTTGTCATTTGTAACATTTTACTGCCATTTCATTTCTCTATTTAACTGAATGGCAATGCATACATGTATGAAATATAAAATAAACTTAGATGTAAATGGCCACCTGAAGAAGTATCCTAGTTCTTCAAAAGTCTAAAATTGTAGGAAATCTTCAGTGTTGAGAGTATTTTCATTTGTGTGTCTTATATTACCTCTTTTATTTAGCTGTCCTTGAGTTAATTGTAGTGTTAGGAGTAAAAGAATAGTAAACATGAAATATTCTTTTTTTTGGTTGGTTGTGGGGCCTGAACTCTGGGCCTGGGCGCTGTCCCTCAGCTCTTCAGCTCAAGGCTAGTGCTCTACCACTTGAGCCACAGCACCACTTCAGGCTTTTTCTGCTTATGTGGTGCTAAGGAATCGAACCCAGGGCCTCATGCATACAAGGCAAGCATTCTACCACTGAGCCACCTTCCCTTACAGTAGCTTTAGATAAGTGTACAAACAAGACTTTGGGAAATAGTTGAAGGATAATTTATCAAATGAAAATATATGATGTCATATATGTTATATAATATTTGCAAACTGTATATATTATAGTATTATATATCAGAGTATTAATAGTTCTTTATTCTTCTAATTTTAGGAAACCAAATCTCTCTTGCCAACTTCGGAAAAAGAATTACTTTTGGCAGAGCACAGTGACCTTGAAGAAGGTGGACTGGATTTGACTGTGTCATTAAAACCAGTTAGTTTCTATATATCAGATAAAAAAGAAATGCTTCAGCAGTGCTTCTGTATTATAGGAGAGAAGAAGTTACAGAAGATGCTTCCTGATGTATTAAAGGTACTTCTCTACTGTACACATACATAGAAATCAAACATTTTTTATAGCAATCATTTTACTGAATGCAGTATGTAATTGGATGTTCTCATTTAAAATAAGCATGAAAAGAAATAAGGGAATTTGGAGAAGTATAAATGGCCTTGGATATTTAAAAAATTGTGAAGAAAAATGTGTAGTTAAGAAAATTACTGCTGGGCACTGGTGGCTCATGCTTGTAATCCTAGCTACTCAGGAGGCTGAGATCTGAGGATCGTGCTTCAAAGCCAGCCTGGGCAAGAAAGTCCATGAGATTCTTATCTCCAATTAACCATCAGAAAGACTGGCAGTGGTGCTGTGGATCAAGTGGTAGAGTGCTTGGACAGTGCCCAATCCCAGAATTCAAGCCCCACTACTGACCAAAAAAAAAAAGAAACTTACTGACCTTATGGGAATATTGTTAAATTCAGTCAATGATAGTATTTAAATAGGAGTGTATTCAATTTCCCTTGGTACTTTAAAATACACTGTTGTAAAACAATGACAGTTTATAATAACTTAATGGTGTTCTTATATGGTAATTTCTGAAACTATATAGGGAAGTGCATGTTATTTTAATTTTACAGTTGTAGAAATAGTTATGGGACAAGCTAAGCCCAAGATGAAATACTTGACACATAGGGGCAGGTCCAGACCATTTAAGCCTTTGGAAGAATTACTTAACATATAGGCTACTATTAACATGTAGAACTATTTTTATTTGTTCTTCCATAATAAACATAACTTTGTGTATTACCATCAGATTTCCAATTTTTTATTTTTGTGTGTGTGTGTGTGTGTGTGTGTCGGTCTTGGGGCTTGAACTCTGGGCTTGGGCATTGTTCCTCAGCTCTTCAGCTCAAGGCTAGTGTTCTCCCACTTGAGCCACAGCGCCACTTCTAGTTTATTCTTCTTATGTGGTGCTGAGGAATTGAACCCAGTTCTTCATGCATGCAAGGCAAGCACTCTACCACTGAGTCACCTCCCCAGCCTCTCTAACTAGAATTTTTAAATTTATTTATTTATTTTTTATGCCTGTTTGGGGTTTGAACTAAGGGTTTGAGTGTTGTGCCTGAGCTGCTGCTGCTTCTTTTTTTCTTTTTTTTTTTTTTTTTTTGTCAGTCATGGAGCTTGAACTCTGGGCTTAGGTGCTGTCCCTCAGCTCTTCAGCTCAAGGCTAGCACTTTACCACTTGAGCTACAGAGCCACTTCCAGCTTTTTTGTTTATGTGGTGCTGAGGAATCGAACCCAGGGCCTCATGCATGTGAGGCAAGCACTCTACCATTGAGCCACTTTCCCAGCCCCTGAGCTTCTTTTTTTTTTAATATTTATTTTCAAATAATTTTTATTAAGATTAACTGATTATATAAATTTCACATATTTCACAGTATTGTGGGACAGTAATACATTTTAACCTTCATAAGGCAAATTGTCATTATCATGGTTTATAAATTCTGTGAATTCTATAAACTGATAATACAATTATTTCTTCCAAACTGTCTGAGCTTCTTTTGATCCGCAGATCTCAGCCTTCTGAGTAGCTAGGATTACAGGTGTGAGCCACCAAGCCCCAGCTTGGAATTTTTTTTACAGTTGTAGTTTTCCAATTTCTTTTCTTTCTTTTTATTTTATTATTATTTTTTTTGTGGGAGTCTGGTCATGGGGCCTGAACTCTGGGCCTGGGTGCTATCCCTCAGCTCTTCAGCTCAAGGCTAGCGCTCTATCACTTGAGCCACAGCGCCACTTCCGGCTTTTTTCTTTTTGCTTATGTGGTGCTGAGGAATTGAACCCAGGGCCTCAGGCATGCAAGGCAAGCGCTCTACCACTGAGCCACCTTCCCAGCCCTTTTTCTTTTTTATTATTATTATTATTCTAATGCTTTTCTTTGGGGTGGGTGAGAAGAGGGAAGTACAAGGTGAGAGGGATGAGAACTGGTGATCTTTTGTTTTAGTTTAAGTACTAATTTTCCAGTTTCTATTGAAACTATCGCACATAAATGCAATTAAAAATATCATTTCCTTTAGAACTGTTCAATAGAGGAAATTAAAAAACTATGCCAAGAACAATTAGAGCTCCTATCTGAAAAAAAAATCCTGAAGATTCTTGAGGGTAAGAATATTTCTACATTCTGCTAACTTATTAAACTGTGTATACCATAAATTCTGAAGCTTTTTTCTCTTATTTGGATGTTACTTTGGTTTCATTAGTGGGTAATCATTGAAGAATATTTGCTTTTGTGCTGAGTAATACAATTTACATACCAGAATAGAATCTCCTGAAGAGATTTCCTGTATAGTTAAGTATGATATATAGAAATACTATTTATATATACAGAAAACAGCATAAGCTTGTATACTGTTATAAAGTTAGAAAAAATGTCTATAAAAATACTGTAAAAAAATTACAGGGAAGGCAAAGATGTTTCTGAAAATAATTTGAACAATTTTCTGCTTTATAGTATTTATAGATTAGTTAACTAATACATATTTTTTCAGCTCTATTATGGTTCACATGTAATTAGAAGAATTCCTTGAAATTTGCAGATGCTCATCTGAAAGAATTCTCTGTGATCCTACTAGAATGTTTGATTTCCACATTTTCTCTTCTAGCTTTTCCTCCCTCCCTCCCTCCCTCCCTCCCTCCCTCCCTCCCTCCCTTCCTTTCTTCCTTTCTTCCTTCCTTCCTTCCTTCCTTCCTTCCTTCCTTCCTTCCTTCCTTCCTTCCTCCCTTCCTCCCTCCCTCCCTCCCTCCCTCCCTTCCCTCCCTCCCTCCCTCCCTCCCTCCCTCCCTCCCTCCCTCCCTCCCTCCCTCCCTCCCTCCACTTTCTTTTTTGGAACTTGCCAAGGAGTTTAGCATTTGCACCATAGATGAAACAAACAACAGATACTTGAGGTTCCAGAGAAAAATAATTTAAAAAAATAAATTATTAAATAGATTTTATAACTCGAGAAATAGATTTGTAGGAATGTATATGAACGCATTCTTATATAGGGCAAGGCAATGAAAAAAAAAATTGAAAAACTCATTGTTTTAAATATAAGCAATTGAAAAGACTTAACTATAAAGTGTTCAAATGTGCATTGCTTTTAAAAATGGACCTCTGTTATTAACTGATTTTTACTTTCTACAAGCATGTTTTCAATAGTTTGTTTCATTTATAAGGTGACAATGGTGTGGACTCTGATATGGAAGAGGAGGCAGATGATGGCTCCAAGATGGGATCTGATTTAGTCAATCAGTAAGTTTAAACACTTCCATTTTCACTTCTAAGTTTCTTTGTTATTCCTTTGGAGATTTTCCTCTACATCAGAGATTCAGTGTTTTAATTATATGAAATAAGTTCTGGTATGCTGTGACACACAGTAGGATGATGATAGATAATGGGTATGTACTATATATGCCAAAAATCTAAAAGTCGTGAATAATTTTACCATAAATGAATTATAAATGAGGCCAGGTGTCAGTGGCTCACACTATAATCCTAGCTACTCAGGAGACAGAGTTTAGGAGGATGGAGGCTAGCCTGGGCATAAAGTTCACGAGACTCTCATCCAATAGCTCAATGAATGCAGTGATGCAAACCTATCATTCCAGTTACCTTGGACGCTGAGATCAGGAGGATCAAGGTTCCAGGCCAGCCCAGGCGGAAATGTTCACAAGACCCCAGTTCAACAAAAAAACTAGGCACGGTGGTATGTGCCTGTCATCCCAGCCATGATGGGGAGCAAAAATAGAAAGTCTAGGCTGGCTCCAGGCAAAAAGCAAGACCTCATCTTAAAAATATTCAGAGCAAGCCAGACGCTGGTAGCTCATACCTATAATCCTAGCTGAGATCTAAAGAACGTAGTTTGAAGCCAGCCCAGGCAGGAAAGTCCATGAGACTCTTTATCTTCAGTTAACCTCCCCAAAAAGGTCAGAAGTGGAGTTGTGGCTCAAGTGGTAGAGTTCTAGCCTTGAGTGAAAAAACCTAGGGATTGTGTGCAGATGCAGAGTTCAAATCCTAGGACTGGCACACAAAATAAAGAAAGGGGTGGGTGGGGGGAGGAAAAGAGCAAAAAAATGCCCAGAGGTGAGTAAAGTGGCAGAGTGCCTTCCCTAGCATGCACAAAGTCCTAAGATCAAACCCCAGTACTGAAGAAAAAAAACAACAACCAGTAAATAAAAAAAGAATTATAAATAGGATGGAGGCTAGCATGGGCATAAAGTTCATAAGACCCTATTAATTCAATTTAAACGTTGTGTAATTTTTACATGCATGCAAACACAATAACCTGTTAATAGGTTTAATTTTTATGTGTTTATTTTAATGTGTTTATCAATTAAAATACGTAGGATAACTAGAAAAATAAACTTGGTTGCATTTAATTTTTCCCACCTATAGGCTATTGTGTGTATTCTGAGCATGTTTAAGGTAGGGTAGGCTAATGTCCATGTTTGGTAGGTTAAGTGTATTAAATTCATTTTTGACTTAATATTTCAACGTAAGAATGTGTTTGAGTTGGAAGTAACTCCCATCTAAATTGAAGGAACATCTGTACTTGGCAAGCAGGACATAACAATGCTAGATGTGCTTTGGAGATTGAAGAAGGTACCACAAGCTAAGGAGTGTAGGTGTCCTTTTGGGAGCTGGAAAATATAAGAAATGAATTTTCCCTGGAGCTGCTAGAAGGAATGCAACACTGGCCCTATCTTGATTCTAGTTCTCTAAGATTCACTTTAAATTTTTGACCTCAGAACTATTCAAGAATAAATTTCTTTTGTTTTAACCTATTATATAATTTGTGCACATTGATGTATACACACCTGCTGTGGTGGTACATACCTAGTGTGCTATCATCCACCTGTAATCTCATAATTCATTTGTAGGCGTAACAGGAAAGTATTATAATTGCTTGGTTTCTCTTGTTTTTGTGTGTATGCTAGTCCTGGGTCTTAAACTCAGTGCCTGTGTGCTGTTCCTGAGCCTTTATATTAAAGGTTAGTGCTCTGCTACTTGAGCCACAACTTCACTTCCAGCTTTTTGGTGGTTAGAGATGAATGTCATAGACTTTCCTTCTTGGGTTGGCTTTGAACCATGATTCTCAGATCTCTGCCTCATTAGTTGCTAGGATTACAGGTGTGAGCCACCCGCACTACCTGCTACCTGCTTTGTTTACAACCTAGTCAGTTAGCCAAAGTTACAGATTGGTTGTCTAAAAATATAAAGGGTTTTTTTTTTGGTTGGTTGTGGAGCTTTAACTCTGGGCTTGGGCACTGTCCCTCAGCTCTTCAGCTCAAGGCTAGTGCTCCCATTTGAGCTACAGCGCCACTTTCGGTTTTCTGGTGGTTTATTAGAGATAGGAGTCTCACAGTCTTTCCTGCCCTGGCTGGCTTTGAACCACGATCCTCAGATCTCAGCCACCTGAGGAGCTAGGATTTATAAAGGTTTTTTTAAATGTAAATGTTTTTTTTTTCTCATGCTGTGTAATGTACTTTATATACAGTATGGCAAAAACAACTCCCTAATCCTTCTATAAGGAAAAAGTGAAATGAAAGAAAAGGGAGGAGTGAAATGAAAAATGTGAATGGTGGAAGACGAAGAATGGCAAGGAAAGGAACCAAGGGAAAAACAGAGAGAGACATTAATATTTAGTCTGCCAGTTCTTATTGATGTGCTGGTAAAAATTAAACATCACTGAGTTTCATTCTCCTCATTGTGAGATTTAGAAGACCTTGCTTGATAATTTTTAAGTTGGATTTCAGGTCTTTTGATTCTAACATTTCATCTTTTGAGATACATTATTGAATTATTTACACCCCAGTTTTAACTAATTAGGTACTGTTCAGAATCCCCATTATTCAACAGTGATGGGGAGGAGTACCAAATCTTTCCTAGTTTTATTTTAAATAGGTGCTTTATTGGGCGGGGAAGGTGGCTCAGTGTTAGAGTGCTAGCCTTGCATGAATGAGGCCCTGGGTTCAATTTCTCAGCACCACATAAATAGAAAAAGCTGGAAGTGGCGCTGTGGCTCAAGTGGTAGAACACTAGCCTTGAGCTGAAGAGCTGAGGGACAGTGCCCAGGCCTAGATTTCAGGCCTCATGACTGGCAAAAAAAAAAACTGGCAAAAAAAAAACCCCAAAAACCAACCAAACAAAAAAAAAAACCCCAAAAACAACAACAACAAAAATAGATGATATAATGTTTAACTGACTAGAGCATGCACATCTCAAATGTCAGTTTTCCTTTCATTACTCTTAGTGAAAGTTAGAACCTTAGTTTTGCATGACTTATTTTGTCTTTTTTTTATATTATTAAATGTTTAAATTTTTTGAAATAGTTTCCAACATTAAAATAAAAATACTGGCCAGGAGCTGGTGGCTCACGCCTGTAATCCTAGCTACTCAGGAGGCTGAGATCTGAGGATCGGACAGTGAGACACTTATCTCCAATAAACCACTCAGAAAATCAGAAGTGGTACTGTGGCTCTAGTGGTAGAGCTAGAGCGCTAGCCTTGAGCTGAAGAGCTGAGAGACCTCGCCCAGAGGTCAAGCCCCAGGACCAACAAACAAAACAAAACAAAACAAAACAAAACACCTGGGGGGAGTGAAGGAATAGTAGGAGAAAAACAAAAGTAAGTGTTTACAATGCTCAACAAGGTATGTACTCATTACCTTACTTCTGTATAGCATCTTTACAATAAAATTAAAAAACAAACAAACAAACAACAAAATGCATCAGGTTACTGGGCACCACTGACTCACTCTTGTAGTCCTAGCTGCTCAGGAGGCTGAGATCTGAGGACTGTGGTTCAAAGCCAAACCTGGGTAGGAAAGTCTGTGAGACTTCAGTTAATACCAAAAAGAGATGAAAGTGGAGCTGTAACTCAGGTGGTAGGGTAGTGCCAGGTTTGAGCCTGGGTGCCAGCACCCAGGCCCTGAGTTCAAGCCCCAGGACAGGTACCAAAAAAACTCCAAAAAGGACTGGAGGTGTGGCTTAGTGGTATATCACCTGCCAGCAAGTATGAGACCCTGAGTTCAAAATTGAATAGGAATTAGATTTAAGAATTATGCAGATGTGATATCCATAGTTTCTAAATAGTTGTATTTAGCAAAAGCTAAGGGATGGTATTGTCACCCTAGAGAAACAAACAAAAACAACTATATTGTAGATAGTTGAAAAACTTTAGCATCTATGGGGCTGGGAAGGTGGCTCAGTGGTAGAGCGCTTGCCTTGCATGCCTGAGGCCCTGGGTTCGATTCCTTAGCACCACATAAGCAAAAAGAAAAAAGCCGGAAGTGGCGCTGTGTCTCAAGTGGTAGAGAACTAGCCTTGAGCTGAAGAGCTGAGGGACAGTGCTCAGGCCCAGAGTTCAGGCCCCACAACCGGACTAAAAAAAAAAAAAAAGAAAAACTTGAGCATCTGTAATTTTATATTGTTTAAAAGCTATCAGCAATGTATCAATACTTGTGAAAACTAAGAATTAAGATAAACTGTGACAAAAACAATACTTGTAATAATAAGAATAAATAAGATAATATGCAGATCTGGAACTAGGAGTGCTATCTCCATCTGGAGACAGGCTGGCAAAGAAGCTTTATTATAGTTAAATAGCACTAACAACGAGAATAGGTATTTGGCTTATAATGTTAGATGATTAAGCTCTAAGCAATGTGTTTGTAATGAAATTTAAGTCTTAAATAGTGCAGTGAGATAATCAAGACTAAAATAATAAAAGTACAAACACTTCATGGAAATCTTAGCAATGCTTTAGAATTGCTTTTGCTAAATATCTTTAAATAAATATACTTTATTGAATGATATTGAGGGAGATGTCAGTGGAAATGAAGCTGTATTTCCCTGTAGATAATAAGTAACATTGAAATAATTTTGTAGTTTTAGAGGACAGATTCAAAAATCCAGATTCTCAAAGTTAGTTATATCACAAAATAAGTTATTTATGAATGTTGTGGTATAACTTTTCCTAGCCACTCCTTGTTTCTTAGCAGAGTATGGACATGTTCTAAATTGGCTATCTAATTCTAGTTTTGAATTCAGTTTTTGAAAAGTGAATTAACTTCTACTTGGATTCCAGTGGCTTATACCTATAATCCTAGCTAATCAGGAGGCTGAAATGTGAGGATTGCAGTTCAAAGCTAGTCAAAGCAGCAAAGTTTGTGAGACTCTTAATCTCCAATTAACTACAAAACAAAATGAAACAACAACAAAACAATTGTGAAGCTGTGGCTCAAGGGAGCAC